ACCATAAAATGTAAGTAATACTTTGGACTATACTACCGTAAATGTGTTTTTTGGTTTCTCGTCAAATTGTGTTTTGCCAGAGAAGAGAGTTTAAGGCACGGGTCGCTGCTCTGCCCTTGTTTATTCTTTCCCTGATTTCATCTGCGCTATTTCCCTTCTTGTTGAAAATGACTCCCAAATATTTGCAGGATTGTACGCCTTTGATTTTGTCGTCTTCCAAGACTAGCTTACATATTTCATCTGTTTCCACTGAGAGATATTCACATTTTGTCATATTCATGTTTAGACCTGCCACCTCATATTCTTCTTGCAGTTTTCTTACCATATAGCTAAGATCGTAGCTGTCTTCGGGAATTACTACCTGGTCATCCGCAAAGAAAAGTGTATATAGCGTGTTTTCTTCCACCGTTCTTCCCATGTTTCTACATTTCACTACCAATAGATTTTACCAAAAGATTCTATTTTATAAATAGATTTTAAATAACGTGGGTGACAAACAGCAGTCTTGCCTTAGTCCCTTTGTCAATTGAGAAGGAGAGGTGATTTCTTGTCCCATTTTATTTCTTGTAAAGTTTTGTTCGTAGTATTTTTGAGTGGCGTTAATAAGAATTGGGTTTATTTTCAAGTTACCCATTTCTATCCATAGTTGGGAGATCGGTACACTGTCATATGTTTTTTCAATCTATTAAAGCTATGTGGGTTTCTCCATTTCTCTGCACTCTGCAAGATCATACAAAAACAACAATGTAAACGAATACAAAGCCTCACACAAAGAGATCAGGATAAAAGTACGGGCAGCTAAGGAGAAGTGGTACAACGACAAATGTTTCGAGATAGAAGAACTCCAGAGAAATCATGATAGTTTTGAAGTGCAGAGAAAAAAATTTAAGAATTAGCAGGTATAAGACGGTCTAACAATAGTAACACCCTAGTTGATACGAATGGTAAAATATTATCTGATGTCAAAGGTAAACTAAACAGATGGGGAGAATACGTCCAAGAATTGTTTGAGGATGACAGGACACAACAAGATAGCATGAACGATTGTGAAGAACATGATATAGGTCCAAATATAACTAAGGACGAAATAATCCATGCAATAAATCTGGCAAAATGTAATAAAACTGCGGGGCCTGACACAATTCCAACTGAAATAATTAAATTAATATCAGAAGATCAGATCAATGTATTCGTAAACTTATATAATACTATATATAATATGGGTATTATTCCTAGAGATTGGCTCAAATCAACATTTATTACATTACAAAAAAAACCTAATGCAAGGGAATGTAATGACCAGCGTATAATTAGTCTAATGAGTCACAAACTAAAAATATTCTTAAAAATTACCCATTTAAGAATTTTCAGAAAAGTGGAACAAGACATCACTGAAACCCAATTTGGATTTAGGAATGCCATGGGTACACGAGAGGCATTATTTGGATTTAACGTCCCATGCAAAGATGTATGGATGTAAACCAACCACTCTATTTTTGTTTTATTGATTACAATATGGCGTTCGATAAGGTCCAACACAACCGTCTTACACAGTTACTTAAAGATGCACACATTGACAAAAAAACTTAAGAATAATAATTTATCTCTACTTTAACCAAACAGCAACAGTCCGAGTCGGCAAAGAACTTTCGGATGAGGTAGAGATAAAAAGAAGCGTAAGGCAAGGTTGCATACTCTTCCCCTTATTGTTCAATCTATATTCGGAAGAAATAATTAAAAAATTACTTGAAAATGTAACATATTGGTATAATCTTGTATATTCTCTGCAATACTATACTAATTGCAGAGAATATACAAGATCTACAGACACTTTTAGATAATGTAGTAAATGCTAGTGAGGAAAGCGCACTAACGCTTAATGCTAATAAAACAAAATTTATGACAATTTCCAAAACACAATAATAAGACATTTTTAACGTAAGAGGAGTTCCAATAGAAAAAGTAAAAAAATACAGATATCTTGGTACAATTATTAATGAAAATAACAAGTATACAGAAAAAATAAAAATGAGAATTGGACAAACTAGAGCAACATTTAATAAGATGAGAAAAGTATTATGCAGTAGAGACCTTAGTTTGCAACTCAAAATAAGAATATTACTTTATTATGTGTTTTCGGTGCTGCTGTATGGGGTGGAGGCCTGGACCTTAAAGAAAGAGGTGAGCGATCGACTTGAAGCATTCGAGATGTGGACCTACCGAAGAATATTAAAAATAAGTTGGGTAAACCGAATAACAAATGTTGAGGTCCTCAGAAAGATGACAAAGGAAATGGAAATCATGAATACGATTAAGATAAGAAAGTTACAGTATCTTGGCCACGTTATGAGAGGGGATAAATATATTGCTACAAACCATATGCAGGGAAAACGAAGTATTGGAAGAAGTTGCATCTCCTGGCTCAACAATCTGAGAAAGTGGTATAATTACAGTTCCGTCGACTTGTTCAGAGCTGCAATCTCAAACGTGAAAATAGCTGTGATGATTACCAACCTCCTTAGAGGAGACGGTACCTAAAGAAGAAGAAGAAGCAAATGCTCCGTCCTCAAGTGCCCCCTATTAGTTATTATTAGCCCAAGCTGTAGAGAATAAACGCATTAATTAGTGAATTTTGAAACCAGAACAGCGTCACAGACAGAGTTATGGAGGGCAATGCCAAAAAAATGTCTCTACGTGCATGCAAATCCAAACTGTCGGTTATAATTTTTTCTGGCACTTTTAAGGTGCAAAAACGGTGATTTCTTATTATTTTTCTTTTTATTGTATCAAATCAATATTTTAGAGTAAAATGAATACAAAATTATGAAAGAACATAAAAAAGCTTTAGTTTTTGCTATGAGACTTTGTAAGATCCGATTAAGCAATTCTTAAATGTTGATAAATTTCGCAGGGCCAGAACTGTTTTTAAAGATAGAGATCTAATTCTAAACGGATTTTCTTCTTGGCCAATTATATTGTGTAAAAATAAAAATATTTGTTTAAAAATTTTTTCCACTCCTCATTTATTGCTTTGAAATAGATGCGACTTTTGCGTTATACATTTTTAGAGTTGCGCGTACTTGGAGGTTACTCCAGGCATTGCCCTTTATAACAGTGTGATGGTTTCAAAAATTCACTAATTAATGCTGAAAATTATTTATTTTTGTCTTTACAACTTGGACTATAAGTGCATGCAGCAGAATTATTTGTAATAAAAGTTCGGAACAAGGTTATTCAAGGTTAAGTCTCAAATTTATTCTCTGTCTGGTTAGTTTAAGCATTTTTTAGTAGTTCTGACGTACGTGGATGTCTTAGAATCTTTTACAATCGGAAAATTGAATTATGTCACAGATTTGTGCTCAAATATTAATTACATTTGAAAATGAAATGAATTTATTTAAATAAATTTTGAATAAAGTCATGAATTACTGCTGTTATTAAACTCTGTTCTAGGACCTAAAGACAGAAAGAGTCAAGATCTTAGAGGAAAGTGGACCGACAGAGATTATTTTATGCTTAGCCTATTTTTCTTCAGGCGATTTAGCAGCGACACCGACCAATCAAGGTAAGGAGCTAGTAAGCCACTACAGGAATATAGAGATGCAGCTGTTTATCGGCCGTGACGCCAACGCACACCACAGAATCTGGGGAAGTATGTACATCAACAAAAGGGATAAGTTATTAGTAAAATTTATTATGACAAATAATTTAAACATACTAAATGTAGGCAAAAACCTACTTTTATAACTAAAAGTAGAAAGGAAATAACCATACTAATAGCCTCAAATTTCCTGCGTGATTTTATATCAGAATGGCCTTTCTCTAAGGGAGAGAGCTATTTAGACCATATATACATAACATTAACCTTCGAGGCAAAACTTACCTAATGGAGCCCACACACTACTAACTGGAGAGCCTATAAAGAAGTTCTAGACTCGCATCTGTCTAGGGCGAGGAGTAGTATAAATGACGCCGCAGACTTAGAACTGACAGTGGGTGATCTAAATGATGCTGTCAATATAGAATTCTAAAAAACCTGTCCTCTAACGGAAAGAACTTTTACCCGCGATTCAATCTGGTGGAATAAAAAACTATGTGCATTGAAGAAAAATACAAGAAAGATATTCCACAAAACCAAAATAATCTGAGAGTGAAAAGAATACAGATCCACATCGACGGAATATTATACTGCTATAAAGGAAGCCCAGAGATCCACATTGATAAAGCGCTGTAACGATATTGAAAGCAGTTATTCTTGTGCTAGACATTAAATGATGCTCCCAAGGGAGAAAACACAACCAATAAACTTATGTAAATGATAAGAGTAAGTATACCAATACAGCACAAGACATGACTAAAGAGCTCTTCAAGGTACACTTCTCTAAATCGTAAATAGGGCATCACCAGGAAACGAGGCTTTTCAGAGAGTCTTAAGGACTGGCAGACAGTCAAAAATATTGTAAACTATGAAAAGGTATCATGGGCAATAAACTCCATATTGAAACTGAACCAGAATATGTAATATACTCAGAAATATTGTAGCTTTCGGATACATACCTAAAATATGGAGAAAATTCATTTCTAAACTGGGGATAAGAGAAAGGAAAAAGACAAAATATCTAAGACCAATGACGGTGCAGCAGTTTTAAGCCAGTCTCACAAAAGACATTGGATTAACTACTCGACTGATATGGTAGCGATCAAATATTGGTACACAGTCCAATACATAAAGAAAAACATGTCTATAGAGCTGAGAATTCATCCAAGTCACCACTTCACAGACTTGTAGAAAAAGTAAGAATCATAAGTGAAAATAAAGAGATTGTAGAAATTGAGATTAAGACCGAACATGCTGCACTAGGTGTCCAACATGGTAATCAAACCTTAATTACCTATACAGCGAAATTATATATTAAGCAAAATGCAAAAACTTGTATGTCTGGGGATAAGTGGTGCTATGAGGGTTGAAAACAAAAATCATATTAAAATAAAATCGCTTTAAAATTGTTTATATTTATTAAGTACTCATCAGTCTGTTACACCTTAGTACAAAGTTTTTTTAAATTTAAAAAATAATAAATAGGTACAGCACAAATATTGTATATTGAGTAAAAAATTTATATCAACAAAAAATCTCATTGTATCTTATATAATATACCACTTTATAAAATTCTTTATTAGTTTACTATATAAGTCGTCTCTATACAACACAGCCATTCCACAAAAATGCACACACAAAGAAGGTAGAATAAAAATCTTCCCCACAATATAGTAAATATTATTAGCACATTTGAAATACAAACTATATTGCAAGTATAAGCATAATAAATTTAATTTAAAATAGTGTTCCTATTTTCATTCTTCCTTCATTTAAATCACTCATACCTACTTAAGCTTTTTTGAAGCTAAATTGGAAACCATCAGGTGACCTGTTTAAAGATAATTTACCAGGGGGATAAAATCTGTGTGGAGGTGGTGTAGTAGGGTTATATTGTGGTTGAGGTCTGTATTGAGGTTGGGGTTGGGGTTGAGGTTGGTATTGGGGTTGTGGCTGATATTGGGGTTGTGGCTGATATTGTGGTTGAGGTTGATATTGTGGTTGAGGTTGTGGTCTATACTGTGGTTCTGGTTGGTATTGGGGCTGTGGCCTATATTGTGATTGTGGTTGTGGCTGATACTGAGATTGTGGTCTAGAATACTCCGGAGGGTTGTATTGCGGTAAAGGTTGGTAAGCAGGTGTTGGAGCTACTGGCAATACTGTTGGAATTGGTTGAGGAATGCCATCTCCTGTTGCCATAAAACCATCTTTTCCAGCCGTGTAAGTAACAGTGTGCCTCTGACCGTTGGGATCTACGTAAGAGTAGGAACCTTGACGTGTACCGTCTGGTGAGCTCACTTCTTTAAAGTTAACGCCATCTTCTTGTTGATATTGAGCTCCAAAACGACCGTCCGCTTGAAGGTACCTATCTTCCGCCAAAATTGCAGCGGTTCTTGGATCACCTTGGTAGCCTTGGGCCAAAACGGTTGAAATAAGGGCTAAGGATATGACCTAGAACAAAAACATATTTTTTAAAATATTAGAACATAACGGTTATGGCTTTGAAACTATTTGATTTGATATTTAATATGTTTATTTTTTAAAATGTGCAGCAAAGATTAACACAGATCTAGACCTAGACCAGTTTTGATATATGAGGCTGAAACATAGAATTTATTTCAAGGGATGAGAGAATACTTGGTATCTTCGAAAGAATTTCGAAGATTTTTGGGGCCGTAAATGAAAATGGTCTGTGGCGTCGAAGATATAGCTTAAAATTATTCTAGTTATACATAGATCTAGATATTCTGAAATTTATAAGGGTACAGAGACTGAGATGGGCTGAACGCATTGCTAGGATGTCAGATATTGAGTTATACGAAGAGATTGACATTATTAAACATACAGATCAGAGAAAGTAGAGGACAGCCACGTAAAAGAAGTATTAATAATGTAAAAGAAAACTTTAATATTCTAAGGGAAATAAGATGAAGGGAACTTGCTGGGAATCGACTGGAGTAACATTTTGTTAACGAGCAGGCCAGTATACACAGGGATTGCCGAGCCAAGTATATTGATGATTAAAAGAAAAAGAAAACTATCAAACGATATTTATTTTTGATAATTAATTTAAGGAGTAGGTAAAAGTGCCATGTCATGGCTTCGCATTATCAGAACTTGGACAGGCATGAACGTGAATTACTAAGAGTGGTATAGAATACAGAACATTTTGATTTAGCTATCGCAAACCTCTAGTAATGTAGTGTAACAGAAAAAGAAGAAGAAATAATATACCATTTAGTCTGATTGACAGGTATGTCAGAAGTAAAAAACTTATGCTTTCTTAATTCGTTAATAGGTGGCATTCGGAGCAAACATAATACTTGATTGAATTTGTTTAGAATATAAAATATAAATAAATAATAAAATTACTTTATTTAATTTTAAAAATATTATTTTCTCTCTTCGCGATAGTCTACACTACCGCCTACTGTTCCACTTTTTTTAAAGTATTAGTCTCTAAATTGAGATGTTTATTGTATGTTTCTCTTAATGTATATATCCAATGTCTTTTTATTGCATATAAACTAAAATTAAAATACACAAGGCCAAACCCAAACAGCACAGTACGTTTTAAGTACGTACAATTTTGGTACTGTACGTACATGATGTAAAATGTACGTTTTAAGTACGTACATTGGGGTACATACCAGTACGTACAGAAGAGTACGTACTTATTACGTCTTAAGTATGTACATACCAGTACGTACAGAAGAGTACGTACTTATTACGTCTTAAGTATGTACATACCAGTACGTACAGAAGAGTACGTACTTATTACGTCTTAAGTATGTACCATGAGAAAGAAGAGTTAAAGCATATTTATTATGTTAGGTTATGTTAACCTAACCTAATTGATTTAGTTAGGAATTTTACACCTCGAGTACAGTTGTGATGTGATAATTCATTGCAAGACAGTTTCATTTAGATTTTTTTTACTTATTTTTGGTGTTTGGTGCTTGTGGTTTCCTGTTATTTTATTCAGTCGAGTGTTTTTTCTGTCAAAAATGTAGTGATAAAAAAGTGGCGGAGCAAGAAATTGAACGATGGTTGAACAGAGTCGGGGATCACTTAAAAACTTTCTTTCTTATTTTTAAAAGAATAAAAATTGAATTTAATAAAAAAAAAATAAAAATATATTCACCTATATTTACTTTTATTTACATAAATCATCATAAGTGTGTATAGTATGTACATAATATATATATATATATATATATATATATATATATATATATACATATATATATATATATATATATATATATATATATATATATATATATATAATGTACTAAGTACATACCTTCAATATGTACTTTAAGTACATACTAGGTACGTACTCTTAGTACGTACTAGGTACGTGCTCTTAGTACGTACTAGGTACGTACCATAATTTGGAAAATGTACGTTTTATGTACGTATTAAGTACGTACTTCGTACAGCAAAGTACGTACATTGTACGTACTTTATGTCCCATCAGTACGTACTTAGTATGTCTTATGTACGTACTTGTGCTTACTGGGAATACGATAAATCTCACGATGGAAATTGTAGCATACTGCCAATCCAGCGTAGGCTCAAGTTTGTTTTCGGGGGCGTAAGTGGAAGTTTATAAAACAAGTTATTTACAATGCGTAACAATATTACATCAGAGTTAAAAGAAGCATATCGAAATCTATGAGTGAATATCACAATAATTAGTAAACGGAATATAGATGGATATTGCATTTATTTTTAGAGCCTCAGAAGAAGGTAAACTGGTTCAAAGCTAACAAAACAATAACCAGGAAGAGGGTTGATTAAAACAAAAAAAAAAATTGTAATTGTAAAAATGTAAAAAAAAAATTTTTTTTTTACTTGTAGTGACCTAGTGGGTATGTCCTATGTTTTAATATTATTTTAATTGTGACGTCTAATTGTTAATACCTAATATTTACATGCTTGTCAATATATATTCTTGAAAAAGGCATGGATTTCCTGCCGAAACGTCGGAAAAAATATATAAAAATGTCTTAGTATCAAACTAAATTTTTTTTATGAACCTAAGCCCAAGAGAATCCACTAAAAAATATATATTAAGGTTCAAGAACTAAATTCAAACTATATATATATACTCTGCCCTTATATAATGTGGTGGTGCACCATATTGCATAAACCACATATTTTTCATTAAATTTAATGGAAAATTAATAAGATCATTTTGTTAAAAGTGTAATGTAGTTCTCACTACTGAAATTACGAAGTAACTCGCATGGCCCTAACAAATGATTATCAATTATTCCATACCATACGTTAATCTTAAATTATGTTAGAAAAGCCTTATATCGACGAAAAACTGGTTAAGATTTTGACTGTCTCGGATATCATTCGCAAATCTGCAACATAAAAGTAAATCTGCTGGTAAAGGGTGAAAATGCTCGCGGTGTAGAATTTTTAACGCTGAAGATAAACGTCGTGTATAAACATACTTGAGAATCATCGTCAATGCGAACCATTACCTGATCTTCTTGATCAAGTGTAATGTTTTAAGGTCGGCCTAATTTGTCACGTTTAGGACGAAATGAACCACTTTCGCCTAAATTCCGAAAGAGATATTTAAATGTTGGTGATTAGGTTGCAGCCTCTTTGGGTATCTTTTTAATTACTCCCTTTTCGCAGCACGCCAGTTAAAGTGTTGCTGACAATAAATAGCAATCATATCTCCCATATCCATATTTGAAAAATTATTATGCCTCGGCATTTTCTGCTTTTGGTAATGTAGACTAGCTGGAGGCTTTATACTATGTTTTCCATATTTTTAAAATTAAAATAATATTTTTAAAATTTAATAGATTAATTTTAAACAAATTATATCACATTAAAACAACTCAATAAATTATTATGTTTCCTAGTAGCGTTATCTGCTAACGTATCAAAAAAGCATACGTTTTTACATCTGGCAGACCCGTCAAAGTCACACTAAATATTAAATTATTAATAAAATATAAATTTGACATTTGCTCATTAATTTGATAATAAATTTAATTGTTATACAAAATAAATAAGATGTTTAAAACTAAAATTTAATTATAGTTTGAAAGGAATTAATTAACAACTAATGTTGTTAAATATATGATGACTATAAACGAATTAATAAATAATAGTAAATCGATGTGAAGAGCGTTATTTCGTGGCGCTTCTTTAGTGACGCTCGCATGGGCATTTTACTATAGGGACGCTATATATACAACGCCAGTATAGAAACTTATTGAGTGATAGAGGAAGGTTTCAGAAAATTGTAGAGATGATAACAGCCAACGTCTGAATACAGACCCGGCACCTAAAAAGAAGAAGATAGAAGCGAAACTTCTATCTTCTTCTTTAGCGAAATGCATAAAAAAGCATTTTGTGATGTTTCGTTACCATCTTTGATTTGTTTTTATCAGAATACACTAATAATTATGCTTATCCACAGGTATTCAGTGCTTTACCGCACAAATATTACGACTAAGAATTTGCGTTGCGATGAGTTGCTATCATCAAGTCCTCGTAGACACTTTGTCTCAGGACCAGCAACTTCATGTAGAGTCATACGTTGCCAGGTTACCAAATCTACTGGTAACTTTAACATCGTAATATATAAGATCAAATTAGGTCAACTAAATTTAAATATATAACTTTTAACGGGTTTTTACCCAGATATTTAGTGGCTCAATACATGTACACCTAGAAACTAATGATGGAACATTGATTCCGAAAACGTTTTGTGATATAGTCCGATTGGGTTTTTAAATTATATACCATTTATAAAGGATTTTTTTAAACTAAGAATTATTATGAAGCTGATTTATAAAATGCGATTATCTCAAAAGTGTTGATTTTTTAAATTATTAATAAGTATACCTTTTTTTGTTAAAAAAAAGTGTCTTGAATTTTTTGACAAAAATGACGTTAGTTTGATGGACAAAACAGCGCAAATGTGTGCACATATGTGGCATATGTGGCGCCCTCTATAACCTACATTAAAGTGTGCATTAAATTATAATTTTTCAGAGCACAAAGTTGTAAATTTTTATACATATATGTTCAAAAACATGAAAATTAGAACGAAAATAAAATTTTAAAATTCCACTTAACACCCTTTATCTTTGTTCTGAATGTTCTTTATCTTATGGACACAGCGTTATTCAAAACCCTTTATCTTTCTTTAAACTTCTATCTCTTAACATTTTATTAAAGCAAGTTAGCTTAAATCGTAATATTTTTAAGTGTAGAATCTACTGTTTCTTTTTGTACAATTACTTAAGGACCACCCTGTATATATTCTCTAAATTTATGTACCTAAAGGTAATAACTAATAAGGTAGTAAACATGGTCCCAAATAGACTATATACTCATCACAAAGAGAAAGCAAACATCGATAACAGACGTGAGAACATACAGAGGTGCACATGCAGACACAGACCATTTCATGGTTACCGCAACGTTAAGACAAAAAGTCAGAAGAACTCTAAAAAACAAGACAACAAAGGACAAATGGTACATAGAAAAATTAAATGCTACAGATAGAAGAATTAAATATGCAGAAGATATAAGCAAAAAACTGAAGGAATACTGTGAACATACAGAGGATGTTGAAACAGAATGGAGCAATATAAAAAAATGTATAAATGAAACAGCTTCTGAACATGTAGGGATAGAGAGAAAGAACAAAAAAGAAGAATGGTATAATCAAGACTGTCATAACATATTAAAAAAGAAGATAGAAATAAGACAAAGGTGGATCAGAACAAATAGACAAGAATATAAAGAAGAATACAACAAATTAAGGACAGAATGTAAGAAATAAATTAGAAAAATTAAACGAACCTGGTTAAATGATAAGATAAATGAAATAGAAAAAGAAAACACAAATATAAACACAAAAGCATTTTATAAGAAAATTAGCGAGCAGAACAAAACCTTCAAAGGAAAGATAAAAGGCATAAAGGATAGAAATGGAAAAGTATCAGAAAATGACAAAGAGTTTAAAGAAATCTGGACTGATTATTTTAAAGAATTATTAACAGTACAAGAGGACGAAGACTTAAATGAAAATGTGGAAGAAGAGACCACGATGATAGAAACCGAGCTAGAAAAACCAACGAGAGATGAAGTTGAGGAAATTATAAACAGTAGTTGCAACGGTTAAAGCACCAGGTATAGACGGTATACACATGGAACTAATAAAATATGGTGGACATGAACTCAGAGAAAAAATATAACAATTAATAAAAGTCATATGGGACGAAGAAAAGATGCCAGAAGAATGGCACAAAAGACAAATTATCACAATCCATAAAAAAGGAGACCAACAAATGTGTAATAATTATAGAGGACTGACATTATTAAACACAGCGTATAAAATCATGTCAACCTTAATACAACGAAGACTGGCCAAAGCGACAACAAATATCATGGGACAGTATCAATGCGGATTTATTAGGGGAAAGTCAACAACAGATGCCATACATACGGTAAAGCAAATTATGGAGAAAGCTTACGGATATAAAATAGAAATTGAACTGCTTTTTATAGACTTCCAACAAGCATTTGATTCAATAAACAGAGCGAAATTACTTACAGCTATGAGAGAAATGAGAATACACAACAAATTAAGACGATTAATAAAAATGACAATGAGCAAAACCGTAGTAACTGTAAAAACACAAGAAGGAGACACAAAAGAATTTGTTCTTGTGAATAAAGATGTACGCCAAGGAGATTCATTATCTGCAACTCTGTCTAATCTTGCCCTGGAATATATAGTCAGAAAAATCAACAAAGGTACACTTAAAACGATAGAGGGACAAATAATAGCATATGCCGACGATATTGTGATAATAACAAAGATCAGAAAAAAAATGGAAAGTATGTTAAAAGAATTGGCAGCAGAAGGAAAAGTAATGGGATTAGTAGTAAATCAAGAAAAAAAAAACAAAAATAATGAGATTTGACAAATAATATGAAAACAAAAAGGTTAGACTGGGAGAATATATATTTGAAGAAGTAGAAAAGTTTAAGTATTTGGGAATATTATTAGCAAACAATGGAGAAAGGGAAACAGAAATTAAAGAAAGGATAATTACAGCAAATAAGACATACTATGCAAATAAAAAGCTTCTAAAAAATAAATTACTGAGCAAAAAATCGAAAATGAAAATATATAAAACAATAATTCGACCGACTATGATGTATGCTGCCGAAACCCTTAGCATGACAAAAAAACAAGAGGAAGACCTTAGAATACTAGAAAGGAAAATACTAAGAGCAATATTAGGACCAATAAAAATTAATGAAAACCAATATAGACAAAGAACGAATCATGAACTACTAAACGAAATTAAAGAGGATATAGTTTGTAAAATAAAACAGCAAAGGGCAAAATGGCTAGGACATAATATATGGAGATCAGGACCATCTACGACAATATTCTCAATGTTGGAATGGACACCAGCTGGTAAAAGAAGACGTGGAAGACCAAGATTTAATTTAATTAATTACAACAATAAAGGAAATTATGATTCAGACCTATATGTTTTAATTTATCTATTGAAAATAAAAATATGAACAAATTCTGAAAGTTGATTACCTAGTGCTAAATGGGATAGCGAAGGTCAAAGAGAAAAGGAAGTATGATATCACAGGAATAAATCATTTGTAGTATATTAACAAACAGAGAAATATTATTGGAATTAGGATAAATTCTATTAGCAGATTAAAATAATATTTATAAAGTTGCTGAAAGATCCACCAAGAATATATACATATCAACAAACTAAAAGCACACATCTTTAATTATATAAAATCTAATAAAATAGAATAATAGAGGCAGGTATGAGTTATCACCGGTATGTAAAAGATCCTTAAATCAATCATAATTGTTCAGTTAAAAAAATATTAAAGTAGAATAAAAGAACATGTTTTAGAAGAAAAAACAATAATATAAAAGCCTATCAAATGAAAATATATTTGAAAATTTATAAAAAACATAATTTTTAATTATAAAAAAAGATACTTTGAAAACAATTCAATTGATTTGCTACTAACACTTAAACTATAAAATTATTAATTTAAATATTATTTATTAAAGCAGTTAATAATTATAAGAGCAATTGGTAATAGGTAAACGCAAAAGAATGCGGTATTGCATTATGCTCTCAACAAAGAAAATATAAGGTTAACCACTTGCCAACAAGAACCTTTCACCCGGATATCACCGCAGGAATATAATTTCCTGTTATTCGAAACTGCCACCAAAATTTCACGAAATTATAATTAATCGTGTCAATTTTATTATTAATATTTTTTGAATACTCACAAATTTCAACATGATAGAGTTTTTCCGGAGTCTATCAAAAGGTAAAACTATTACTAGTGCCCCTCCAGCTGTTAATTTAGTTATATAGCAAGGGGTAACCTTGGGTACTGCGACCGTGGAACACTCCTTGTATTATGGTGTGGTACTACTAGCTATTCTCTGTACTTCGACTTATTTCTGCAAAATACTCTATTTTGGTGTGGTTAAATACTAAATAATTTGTAGAATTTTATTAAGATAATCGAATTGATTCAACAAAAGCATATTTACATTGATTTATTATCATTATATTATGAGGAATGTAACAAAAATATTCCTCATAAGCTACATATACCAAGATTTACACAGCAATTTACGGCTATATAGGGTAACGGGTACAGTCATTGACCACTTAAGGGATGGCGAATTGAATTAAAATTGTAGATTGGTATTTTTTAAAGTAAAATAGTTTGTAAGGGTTTTTTAATAGCAATGAAACATAAAATGATATAAAAACTCAGGGTATTTTAAGCAAAAATAATAATGTATAGGGGAGACAGGGACAGCGAGGACCATCTTTAACAAAAATCTCTTTATATAATTGAATACCTCCCTCTAAAAAGGTTGCAAACAGCAAAATCACTTTTTTACAGGAAATGAAGAAAACAATAGAAACTTTCCCTGTTACAATAAAAATATGTTTATATGATGCTTACACATTATTGTTAAAGATTGCTATAATTTTTTTTTATTTTTAAAATGTACTTTAATACTATTAGACAGAATTAAATTTTTTCAATCTAAAAACGTTACACATGCCCATATGTAACGTTTTTACATTCAATCTAACTAATATTAATTATGTACTTGAAACGTTTTACAACAAAACGCAGTTTAGATTAAAGGAGTATTACAGGAAAAATAAATGCACGGTAAAATGTAATATTAAACAAATAGTTTATTAATATAAACAATACAAAAAATGTATGATTTTATTTTATTTTCAATTTTTAAGTGTTTATCCTACATAACATTTGGATCTGCACTATCTAACGATTGATAAAAAGTTCTTTTATATGGAGGTAAGTAATCTATAAGCTTTAAAAGATCAGCCATTTTTGAGGCATTAATAGGTAGTTTATTAGGATAAAGGATTGGCAGATCGATAGGGTCAACTATGTTGTACACAGGTAATGAGGCAGTTTGGGATCTCTTTCCTTTGGGGTTCTTTATTATATTATAAACCATCCAGTTCTGCATTGGATTGTGGCATGTTCTTATACGAATGGCAGTTGGTTCGTCGTAAGTAAACTGGATCCATCTTGCTTCAGTAATTTTGATATCGGGATGTTTATAGATCTGCAGTTCAATCGACGACATATCCAAAAATTGTCCTTCCATTTCCAAAATATCAAATGGATTCGATTCTCTTATATTCCTAATCATATTTACAACATCTTGAGGATCATGAAGGGTTGCCGTTTTCTTAAACTTTTCAATAATGGCGAAATCGCGGTCACATGGAAGAAAACTGTGTCCTGTGACTAGAAATTTCTGATTGACCTCTGTGAAATAACGCAATGAAACTAGGTAATGATACAAAGCTGCCATCCGCCAATTATTGTTCTGTCCTACACACCTATCAGACCATACTATAAGTTTTCTCTCCTGATGTAGACCCAGGATTTTCAAAATTATTTTGAATGTAGCGAAATAGTGCGGAGGAAATTTCCCCTGATCCCCGTTTTCCTACACTTTCATGCCAAACACACATTGTTGCTCTATTCTTCCCCATATTATGAATACAAAAGTTATAATTAGAATATTGTCTCAAGTAATAGACATCTGAATGGCTTAGATTAGGAGTAAAAAGGACCTGTTGCAAATCAACGCAGACAACAACCAAATTTTCATTTTCAATAGCTGCCTGTGTATCTTCTACCAACGTTTTATAAGCCTTTTCTGCTTTTCTGTGGTGCAGTTCTGACTGAAATTGTAGCTGCTTTAACTCTTCATTATTCTGGCTTGCAACCATTTGTATATAAAATTTGTCACAAACTTTACATGTATCAGATCTGGGAACACCAAATCTTAAGTTAAATTTGTCGTGAAAAATTGACCTATACAAGTGTAATTTCACCCTTGTGGTAGGATACTTATTTCTAAATAATTGGTACATTCTAGTTATGGATAGGTCTGGAGCAAGACATTTCTTTTTATTTGAGTTTCTCGAATAATGGTTTTCTTGGCAAGGAAAAGAAGAAATATGCGTAATGACAAGCTCTTGATCTGCATCAGGAATACTTCGTGGTCTATTGTTATGTTTACCACGACCATCGTCGATGCTGAGACCTTGCTTAACTTTACTTGCAAGAAGCTGCAATCTCCGCCGAGTTAAATTCAAAACAGATATAATTTGTTTTTGACATACCTGCTGCCGTTGTGAAGCAATAATATTTACTGGAAGTGAATACTTGATAGTACATTGGCGTTTGGATATATCTTCAGGCACAATCCTTCGTTTAGGTTCTCTTAACTCCATACACTCTGCAAGGAATCGCTGCTGCTCATTATAAGAATACTGGTAAAAACGATTAAATATATCAACTTTTACTTCCAAATTCTGGTTAAGCACGGAACAACCATCATAGTTGCAAGTTAACGAACAAGTTGAATCCTAAAATAGACGTGCTGTAATACACAACAAAAACGCAGGAAAAACGTTTAAGGTTAGAGTATACACATGTAACGTTTTTAGACTCACCTCATTTGGACACTGTTTTTCGGCTTTTACAATATTTTTGTGGCCCATATAACTTTTTCCACTATCCTTTAACCTTTTATTCTTTACCTGCTGCCATTGGTCATAGTATATTTTTCGTTTTTTACCCTTATTTGCCTTTTTTAAAACACTACACATTGGAGAAATAGGCGTTGTTTCTGCCATGTTTCTTACATATGTAACCTTTTTAGACTGACCTCAAATTTCAGTACTAAAAATTATAATAGTTGAATTCAACTAGCGACTAAAGGATAGCACCACTGTATATTAAACTGCATAAGTAACCATTTTACATTAAAACATCACTTTATGAAAAATTGTCAGTTGCAACGTTTTTAGAGGGACCTCTTCAATTATTTATGTTTATTGTGGTATAATATTATAAGAAATATATTGTGTAACTCTACGGCACTGTACAAAATCATTAACAATGAAATCAGAAAAATGATAAGAAAGGCAAAACAAACTTATTATGAGGAAAAATTTAAAGAGATAAAAGATTTTCAGAACAAATACGATCTATTCAACCTACATAAAAAGCTCAAAAAATGGCTTCAAAAAAGAAACCAAAACACAACTCTTAGATAAAAATGGAAATACTTTGATAAAGAATGACAAGGCTAAAACGCTGCAAAGAATATATGGAAGAGCTCTTCGACGACGAAAGAAGAAACCTACTTAGAAAGACATATCTTTCGAGGACAGAGAAACACAAGTATAGAAATTACAAAGAAAGAAATATTGTATGCAATAAAATACACCAGAAACGAAAAAAGCCCGGGGCCAGATCAACTGCCTATTGATATTCTTAAAATAATCGAAAATGAGTACATGGATGTTCTCTTAAAGCTCTTTAGTGAAATTTATCAGTCGTGTGACATGCCCAATTAATGGTTGACCTCAACATGTATTTTTATCCCAAAAAAGAAAAATGCTAGAGAATTAACCAACTACCGCACCATAAGCCTGATGTCTCACATACTTAAAATGTTTTTATAGATCATCCATAAACGCATTTACCAAATACTTGATATGGATATTGAAGAAACCCAATTTGGATTCCGTAAAGGCGTAGCTACCCCTACCCGTGAAGCTCTCTTGCATTCAACGTATTAATCCAGAGATTTTGGATGTGAACCAAGATATGTACATCTGATTCATAGATTACAACAAGGCTTTTGATAAAGTCCAATAGAAAGAGCTAATGGTCGTCCTCAAAGCAAAACAATTACAATACAATGACCTTCGAATTATAACAAATCTATATTATAAACAGAAGGCACACATGGACTGTCGTATCTCGTGGTTAAACAACTTCCGACAATGGTTTCCGAGAGTCAACAAAACCATGATAGCCTTGATGATCGCCAACATCTGGACCTGATGAGGCACTGAAGAAGAAGACACTCATACGCATGAGCAAAAGTTCATGAATAAAATAGTTGAGTATGGAAAAGAATATGGATTATCAATAAATATCAAGAAAACTAAATTTATGAGGATATCAAAAACCTAAAATAATGATGAAGGCCTCACAATTAACGGCACAATCTTGGCACAATAATGAATCACACAAACGATTACTCCAAAGAAATCAAAGTTTGAATAGAGAAAGCACGAACAAACTTCAATAAAATGGGAAAGGTACTTTGTACAAGAGAACTGAAATTAGACTTGAGAGTTAGGCTGGCAAGGTGTTACATTTTCTCGAACAATTGCTCGACTCTGCTTTACGGGATAGGATCATGGAAACTTATATTATTTTTTTAACATGTCCGAACCAGCTTAATTGTTTTCTTTCTATGTCATCATTGATATTTCGTTCCATTTTCATTTCGTTTCTTAGCTGTTCGTTTCTAACTCTCTCCAGTTTCGATCTACCACAGCTTCGTCCCAGATAATCCATTTCTGTCGTCATAAGTTTGTTTCTATTAGCTTTGGTGACGTCCCATACTTCCGAACCGTAAAACGTAATACTTTGGACTATACTAATGTAAATGTGTTTTTTGGTTTCTCGTCGAAATGATTTTTGCCAGAGAAGAGAGTTTAAGGCACGGGTCGCTGCTCTGCCCTTGTTTATTCTTTCCCTGATTTTATCTACGCTATTTGCCGTTTTGTTGAAAATGACCCCCAAATATTTGCAGGATTGCACGCCTTTGATTTTGTTGTCTTCCAAGACTACGTCACATTATTTCATCTGTTCCCACTGGGAGATATTCACATTTTGTCATATTCATGTTTAGACCTGCCATCTCATATTTTGCTTGCAGTTTTCATACCATATTGGCGACGTGCAA